ACAGAGCAGCTCTGAGCAACTGTTCTGTACCAGCTCTGAACAAGAGGCAGCAGCAGATGCTCAATTCTGAAAAAGAGCAACAGCCACATCCTGAGAGAGTTGGGATCTCAGAGAGTTGGGGTCTCTGAGACACTCAGTACAAACCAGAGCTTTCCATGCATTTGAAGCCCCTCACCAGCTGCTGGAACTGTAAATAAATCCAGTTCAGAAGGTCCTGCTGCTGGTCTAAACCTAAACACAAATGCTTTGTGGAGAAGATTTGCAAGCTCTTATCTCATTTCAGGTGGCCCCAAAAGGACCCATCCCACTGTGCCTGGAATTCCAGGTGGAACAAGAGCTGGGGCAGGYAAAATAGGGAGGATGATTGCTGAAGAAATCATGGAGATTCACAGGTAAGAGAAAATGGTCTGAGAGGACAATCATTGCTTTGTTATTGTTCTTTAAGAGGAATTATTCTTTAGGMGGAAATTAAGGAAGTCTGTGCCCAGGCTGAATAAGGAATGATCCAATTGTATTTTATAGACAGCTGCAGATTCCTGTTCAGCATCCCTGAATACAAAAGCACAAAGTTACAGCCTTCAAGCTTTCTGTTGCAAAAGACTGATACTGGAACTCTTCTGCAGTGGTGATGATTTGTTTACCAGAAACAGGAGTTAAAAAGAGCAGCTAACTAGAAACAAATCCATTCCAGGCTGTTCTTTTCCCCGTGACTTAAGGCTGTGAGTGGCACAACCTCCAAATGCCAAAGCTATTGAGCGTGTGCCAGAAGAGCAATGTTTTGTGTTTGTGGGATCCACTCGGATGCTTTCAGAGTTGTTTTAGATGTGCATGATGAGCTTGTGCAGCTCCCCTGGAGCTCCTGGAGCCAGGACACAGTGCAGGATGTGGGGCTGGGCTCAAACACAGCTCTTGGAGCCCATTTCCTGAGGGACTGTGGGGATCCTCTGCTGCTTTGTGTGAGCAGCTGCTTTCAGTGGCTACCACTTCATTTCTCTTGGCTAAAAATCCCTGTTCCTCACGGATTTCTTCTTGGGAACTGTGTTCCCTTTCCTGTAAAAGTGGTCTCACCCAGCAGCTGTTCAGTGKTAGCAGATTAACCAGACTGAGCTTTAATTCAGGAACACATTCAGGCTGTTTCCCGTGGTTTAGTTCCTGCTGCAGGCAGAGATTCCCTTCATCCTCATTAAGGGAACAGCAGCCCCATCCCTAAGGCTTTGTTCCAGCATGTAGGAATAGGAAAAAGGGGAAAGAGGAGAAGAAAAAAAACAAGGCAGAGCCAATACTTTGAAGCTTCACCATCCCTTTGAGTAGCTGTAAAACACTTAATTAGCCCAAGTGAGTGTAGTAGTGCAGTTACCACCCATGTTTGCATTTTGGTTCAGACCCTGGGTTAGTTCCAGCCTCCTTCAGCAGCTGYTTTCCAAAGCTGCCTTCTGTTCAGCTTTCCCAGGGGAACTCTGCCAAGGAGAAGATTCCCATTTCCAGTGCTTTTCTCTGTAACTACCCCTCCTCCCTTTGGTTCTACAGTCAGCATGTTATTCATTATTAGATATTTGATCAAGCTATAGAAAATGGAAGTGAACCACACTGCTTTGAGCAGTTAAAACAATCCAGTGCCCGGTGTAATTCTGTAGCAGGAGCACACTGAAGGGTCTGGGTTATGTGACTGAGGCAGCTGGAATTCTTAACTGTGGAAATTGAAATAAAATACCAAAAGATGAGGCTTTCCTTAGCAGCCAGTGCCTTTTCCTTCTGACCCTGTGAAGGCTGTAGAGGAAGAAAACCAGGGAGAAGGTAAAGCCTGTAGACCAGGCAGGCTGGATTTACACAGGACTGTTGATCTGSCTGCAAATAAAAGCATTGCTGCTCCTGCTGGCTTGAGAAACACAGAAAAAGGGAGGAAATTACAAAAATGAAGCTCATGCTTTCAGCACCTTATGGCATCTGAGACTAAAGTCAGCATTTGAAACTCCCAAGTGTCTGAGTTGCTTATAAATCCATGCCCTTTTTTATCCCTGTTTTAGGATAAGGGGATCATCACCTTCCAGCTGTGGCTCAAGTCCTCTGAACATCACCAGCACCCCCCCACCAGACACATCCTCACCAGGAGGGAAGAAGGTGAGAAGGAAMTGCACCCCAATCTCGGGGATTCATGGCAGGGAATGTGGGATTGTGCTGATGGGAACCACTCCTGCTGTTTGGCTGCAGTGCTGATGGAAACAAAGCTCTGCAGTGYTCCCAACCTCTGTGCAGCTCTGCCTAAAGGGCAGAGAGCAGCAGTTCCCAACACCAGCAGTGTTTGAAATCCACCTCCCCTCTTGGTTATGTTTTTTCAGTGGAGCTTCAAGAACAGCTCTTCTGATCTCTCTCCCCTCCAAAAACTCTCTTAACACCCCGTGCTGGTGAACACTTGAAGTGCTGGAGCACCTGAGTGAATCCTCCAGTGTTCCAAACTGCTGCAGAGTGGAACAGGACAATTCCTGGGCACTCAGGGGTTATTTTTAAATCAGCACCGTGCACCTGCCCTGCTTAAGATTGCTTGAGTAGCACTCAGGTGCCATTTATCAGCACTGAGCCACCTGAACACTTGTCCTGGCTGCTTCCAGGAATCTCTAAATGCTTACAGAAATCTTGTCCAAGGCAAGAGCACTTATCCAGATCCTTATGCACTGCTTCAGCCCTACTTAACCTTTTTTCTCGGGAATTGTGATGACAATACGTAAGAATTGCTTGTACTGGGACAGTAAATATTTCTGTCTATTCCCAGCTCTCTTCGTTCTTGAAATAAACCTACAAGTTGTAACARTTACAATTCTAGTAACAGTTACTATTGCTGCTTGTGCCTTACAGTATTCAACGTGTGCAGAGTAGGGGCTGCTGGAATGGCATAAAGGAAAATACAGGGGGAGGGTTGGGTTTTATTGATATTGATATTTTCTCCTTGTTTTGAAGTGTGTTTGTTATAAACCACTGGGGTGTTTTGGGAACTCCTCCTACCCTATATTAAAACCCCCAAGATAGGACAATTTAAGATTTAATGCGCCATTTCATGCTGTTTTATAGCTTCTGTTTTGTCTTTCAAGATCTTGAATGGTGGCACTCCAGACATTTCTTCAGCTGGGCTGCTGTCTGGGCAAATCCAGGATAATTCTGGTTACCCRTATTCTGACAACTCCTCGATCCTGGGTAAGTGAAGTCACCCATGAACATCCTCAGTGCCAGCTAAACACACATGGACATTGGAACGAGATCAGCAGTAAATTCCTTTTAGCATCTGCAGCTCTGGTGGTGCACAAAGCCATAGCCAAGCACTGTGTGTGCCATGGGGGCACCTGGCAGCCTTTTTGCACACTTGCTTTCTATTGGAAATTTTCTTAGACAGTACTTGGAAGCCTCTTTTGCTGAATCAGTGTGAATGAGCTCAGCTCCTCAATGGCTTTTTCTGAGTGCTTCCAAAGGGCTGAAGGAGCAGGGATGTTGAGGCAGAATCGTGTTTGAGGCTGTCCCTGTGCTATCCCTGCTGCTGCAGCCCAGGGCTTGCAC